TATCTGTGAGGCACTTAGAAGATAGGCCAAATGATAGCCTGGCAGTAGGCTCTGGAGAAGGGCCCAAGAGGTGACGATAAAAATCTGTCTAGCACCTTCCATCCTCAGGGATGTCTGCCCGACACAGTGCAGGAAAAGGCCTGAATGGGAGGAAGGGGGCAGAGGAGAGAGCTGAGAGCCCTTGGGGAGGGAGAACTCAGTAAGAGAGGGGTCCCCTGCCAAACCTACCCACATGCAAGAGGGGTGGAAGTTAACTGAGGAACCAAACCTTGAAGATACCCAAGCCCTGCACTTACCAGCCTGGGCTATTTGCAATCCCCAAATAACAGCTGTTTATGACCAGTGCATGGATTTTGGTTTTGCTTCTGCCAGAAGTATTGTATGTCCCATCTTTGGGACATACAAACCCAGTCTGCTGCATGCAAAAGCAATGTGAAAATGAGTATAAAGGCTGGGTTAAGGCCAGCTACTGAATGGTTTGGTGGAGTTCAGACTGGTTATTTTAGCCCCCATTGCCTGGTTTTACGTATTTGTGGGTATTAACATGTAAATTCTGGTGCGCTTTTAGCTGTAGCCTCACCCTCAGTCTTGTTGGAGATAAAATTTCAGAGAGAGAATAAGATGATGATGAGGTTAAAGTAAATTGTTGGGAAGTTGAAGTCTAAAGTGGAAATAAATGAGAAATAAAACCCTTTTTAAAAGTGGAGGGAAGTATTTTCTTGCTATTTTTCATCTCCCTGGCTTGAGTGAGTGTGTGTCGCGAGGCTGCAGAGATTTATATTACAGCTCCTAAGCACCAGTGCTTGTTCAGAGGCTGTATTATTCTGGCCCTTTTTATTCACTCACCTTCTAAAGATGTAGTGTAAATATTTATCTTCCCTCTGGCCCATCCGTGCTGCCCAGGACCCAGTGCTGTTAAACACTCTTATCACCTCATCGTTCTTATCTCCTGCGATCCCTGCCAACATTCAGAGTCCGACAATGGGAACGAGGGTGCACCTTAAAAGGTGCCACAAACGAACAGAAAAAGAGGTGACAAGGGGGGAAAATACCTTAAAATGAAAAGCACAAGTGCTATCCCTCAGAGGGAAAGGATAGTGTAGATAGTTTTCTGCTGTGCTTTTCATGGTGCCCTCACGGTGTCTGCGCTTGGGGATGTGATTGAAGGCACTGAGATGAGGTCTGTGTGGAGCAGCACTGGAGTCCCCTACGGACCCTCGTGCTGGTGTGGAGGGCTGTCCAGCCCCAGCTTCATCACCTTCATCACTGGTCAGGCTGGACCAAAGCTCACCCAGGGAACCAGCATGGACTTGTTCTTCCTCTTTCTCTACCAAGGGCTAAATAAAACAGGTGAGATGCAGAAGAGGCGGTGTCTCTCTTAGGGTCACCCTCCCTCTCTCAGAGATTTCTGCACACCGCTTGTAATGAGGCAGGTCTGGACAATCAATGTTTATAGCACACTGTTTAAAACTGTCCTGTGAAGCCACAGTCAAACACCGGCCAGTCAAGGCCTACTTGCAACAGCAAGAAACAGCAACTATGTTTTACAGAGTGTACAGCACCTCAGCAGGGCTCAGCCAAGCTGTTTCCATGTCTCTGCCCTTCAGTCCAGAACTTGTGTTAGGTTAAGCAGGGAACAGAAATTCCCAAGGAATGAACATGGGATGGCAACACCGATATAATCCTATCACTTATAAGACAAAATTGACGTGCAGTAGCCATAGTACCACTTAGCGGATAAGACAGTTGGTCCATCTGCGCTCGGTCCATCTTCTCTCATTTCTCTTGCTTAAATTTCTCAGGAGCAGCACAAAATCCTGTTATCCAATAAGTTATCCACTGGTAGTTGGATTTTCATTGAGTGACATCTGTCGCAGACCGTTGGATGTAGGAGGTACTACTGATTTTGTATCATCTTTTGTTTTGATGAGTTTGGTAGACATGGACTTTCGGGGTTTGGTTTTGAAGTATTTGGAAGTGCTCTCGTCTCCCTCAAAGCTGTGCAGCTTGGCTGCCATCCTGCCGTGGCCAGATGTGCCAGGAAGCTGTAAAAGGCACCCCTGGATGGCACCCAACATTAGGAGGCGAGGGGAAAGCTTGAAATCAGATCTCATGTTGGTCAGTAACATTCATGTGTGGGACTGAGCACTCTCACATTTGAGTGTGTAATGGTCTTTCTTCCCTTTCTCATCGTTTTCTGTTTACCTGTGTGGGTTTCTGCCATTTCCACGAGCTCCTCCTTTCTATTCAGGGAGCATTGCTAAAAGGGCTCTGGGACAGGCACCTACCAGGGCCTTGCAAGCCTTTACAGAAGGTACATTACTGCTTGGAGCCTGGCTTTTCCCCCCTTTTGTGTTGAAGTTCACTGAATTAGAGCAGATTTCCTCCTTTTTAACCTGTCTCAGTGGCACATTTCAGCTAACACATGATGATGAAAGGACATTTCTCAGAGGCATCCTGGCATAGAGCAGAGCTCAGCATTGTGTGTTGGCCCTGGAGCTGCCCATCTCTTCTTCTGCACTCCCCAACATCAGCTCTCCTACTCAACACCTTCTCTTTGGTCCATCTGCTGAAACTATCCATCTGATCACAATCAGCATCTCTGTTCCTTTATCGCTGTCGGCATCTCTAGGTTCCTCCCCGGCTGTGGAGGATGCAAAACAAACATTTCCAGCTCCTGGTGGGCAATATTCCTCTCACGTAATTCCCACAACGGGAGCTGTAATCCTCACTTTCACAGCCCATCTTTGATTAGTCTCCAGGTGTGACCGCTTTGCTCTGAAGGCTCAGCGTTGCTCTACCTGGAGCAGCCGGGCACGTTGGGCTGCGATTAGCCACGGTGCTCCAAAAAGCCAAATCCAAGAGGCATTGAGATCAGCAGCTTCCCGAGGGCATTTCAAGGCCTTTAGTGAGTGACCACGCTAAAGCCTTTTCCATTTACCTGGATTAAAATTTGTTACAGAGGAAGCACAAGCAAATAGCACAGCATCTGAGGAGTGTAACAAATAGCATTTGGCCAGCCGGAACGCTCAAAGGGAAGGGGGGGGGGGGGGGGGAAATCCACAGCGTAAATAAAGTGCAAACCCTGTTTGCATAACATTGGATTAATAGTTCTTTTTAAAAACCACACTGGGATTAAAGACACGCATTTCCTATGCCAGGACTCGCACTCCCTCCTTAGCCCAACAGATGCCAGGAAGTACATCTAAGAGAAATAAAAAGCCTCATTAGATCCAGCCGGCTGCTGAAGCAGCAGTGCTTTCCACAGGCCTTTGGAAGAGGAACAAATGGCTGGAGTATTCCTGGAGCAGTCCCGTGTGTTTTATAGGGAGTTCTGCAGCAAAGTGTTCCCAGCAAAGTGGAAAGGGGATTTCTGCTGCACAGCTTCAGTCCCATCCCCCAGCCCACACGTTTGACATCCTGCCTTTCCAGTAACTCATGTGGAGCGCTGCTGCCTCTTCTTCCCCAACCCTGCTCTGTATTTTGCTGAAGTCAGTGCGGGTCCTGTCACTCCTCTGAGCAGGCATGTGCTTTAGGAGTGCTCGGGGGCTCTGGCTCAGTTACCTTATTAGTGTGGAATAATCAATGGATGCTGTCCCTGATTCCTTCAGTTCTTTGGCTTGTGGTATCTCTAAGGACACCCATTTGCATTATGTCCCCACAGTTTGGGCAGAAAGAGGCTCCTGAAATGAGGTGTCTTCAAACACTGGTGCAAGTTCACTGACACGAATGGGACATAGTGGCACATTCCTTTGCTTGGAAAAGACATGAAATGGGTATTGGGGCAGCAAATACCTGTTACATCTGGCTTTCCTTTTTGTCCCTGTTGGCTGTGGTTGTTGTGTTGGTGATGTGTCCCAGAGCAAAGGGTGGCACGTCCTAGTTCCTCAGCTCATTAGGGTTAATATCAAACAGAAAAGCAGGTGGGAAACCAGAAATCTCCAGCTATGGGTGAGATTTTTACCTGTTTTCCCATTCTCCTTTTCCCTTTCGCCTGCTCCAGCATCCACAACAGACACCAGAATTTGCACCTTAATCCCAAAGATGATGGTAATTAAAAACTTAAGTCTCCATAGACAGATGCAAATAAATTAAGGAGGCAAAGAACTGAATTAGAGGCTAATCCTGATGGGGTAGTGAAAGCAAAGTGGCCAGTAATTCTTTCCTTCTGTTATTTCACCTGTTCTGAGGCTGTGGTGGTGTGAGGTGCCTGGGTGTGCGCTGCTGGATGTGCCACATGTGCTCTCTCCAGCAGAGCCTGGGGAGGGACACAGGAGCCTGGGAAGGGGACACACTTCCCAAAGCACTGCAGCTGGTGCAGTGGTGTCTGTGTTGAGCTGGGAAAGGGGGCTGTGTGCCAACACCTACAGATCATGAGGTTTGCTTTGCCCTTGTGCTGCAGGTGTTTCACAAGCATGAGTTTGGCAACCTGCTCGTCCCCTGAGCGCTGTGCCCTTCCCTCACCCAACAGAACTTACCTGGGCTTTGGGTAGACTTGAGTTTCAAAGGGCAGGAACCCAAGATTTATTCAGGTGGAAAAACTGGATTTTTTTTTTCCCCCTGTGTGATCCTTTGTGCTGAAGAGTGCAGCGCAGTGTCCCGGTGCTTCACCCTGCTCTCAAGTAGGCCAGGACTGGGCTTGCACTGAAACGTCTTGCACTAAAGCATCAGGATTAGTGAGAATCCCAGAGTAAGGCCATAGGACCGAAATCCTTCATTTTTATGGGATGGAAGTGATAACACCATGAACTGAATTATACTCACGTCATGATGTGATCCACGCACTCCTACGGGTGGATGGATATTGATTATCCATCAATATGGAGTGATGGGTGGATGATGATTCAAATCCCAACTGTCAGGTAGCTGGATGTCCTGGCCTTTTTATCTAGTCAATTAAAACACTGCTGTGATTCAGCTTATTTATTTAAAACTGAGATTTATTTGTGTCCCCATGGATGTTGCCTATACCTCTAAAATCAAGTCTCTCTTTTTTTCAGGATGGGGAAGGCCAGACTGCACTCCATTATGGTAAGCTGTCTCTCAGCTTGGTTGTTCCCTTTTAACAGGATGGATTTGCAGCTGGAGTAAATGCTCTATGCACAGAAAGCAAATTTCAGGAGAAAAATGAGCAGAGAAGCTGGATTTGATTACCTCCGCCATCAAATCCAGCATGGTAGGAGTAGGAGCCTTGGGAGAAGCAGTGAGGAAGACTGCTCTCTTCCCGTCCTTCTCCTTTGCAGATGTCACCCTAAAGCCTTCCTTTTCCCCCTAATTAACGATGCAGAGTTTTCCTGTACACCTATGTGTCCCTAAGATATGGTTGTGCCACCTCCAGACCCAGGAGTGGCTCTGATTAGGGAATGCCAAATCCCTGGGCCTTCAGGGAGGGTCTGTATCAGTTTTAACAGGTTACACACGTGAGGGGAAGGGGATGACCAAGGTGGCCTCCACCTCCTCGTGTCCTGGTGACAAATCTGTTTGATTGCAGCTGAGAGAGCAGCAGCTCCTCTACGACCAAAATCAGCTGGGGGAAGTCACAGTTCACGTCCCTCCTACAATTACAGGCTAATTAGATACGTGATTTTATAGGAGTCTTTAATTGAAAGATTGTCCTATCTCCAAATGAGGAGAGTAGAGACTGAAGTGACGCATGCAGTGCTGATGTGTGGGGAATATGAAAAAAGTATCGATTTAATCTGGATCATGATTTTTTCCCAAAATTAAGACATAGCCAGTTATTATTTTGTGCTCTCTCTTGATGCCTGTCACTGTAATTAAGAGCATACTTGTCATTCTGAAGTGTTTGTGTCTTTCTCTCTCTCCCTGATGTCTCCACAAGGACATTAGCAGGATGGCAAAATTGCTTTGCAGAGCATTGGTCCAAAGCACAGCATTTGGATCTGGAGCTGAACTCCCAAATTCCAGGGCCCCTGAACCGAGACTGTAATTACAATAATGTGTGATTTCTCCCCATGTCATCTCTCCTGCAGGATACTCTATTTTTCAAATTCCTATCATTGTGACTGGAGTGGTGAATCTGTTGCTTAGCACAGCATTGTCCACAGATTGACAGCACTTTAAAATGCCACATTGCCTCCTTCTCTGCCTAATTCATTCCACGTTTTGGACTTTCTTTCCCCTGGGAAGATGCTTTCCCTGCTCCCAACTCCAGGACTGACACCTGCCTACAGAGAGGTGCACAGTACATTTCTGTGGGTCATGCACGAGCATAGCACGTATATAAGTTATCCATGAGAACCTGCTTCCAGCAAGGCCAATATGTGAAAAAAAAGGATGGGTGCATCATCTGAGTGTAAATTCTATGGAGGTGTATATCCCTTTGGCTGGTGACTGAGGCAGCCTGTTTAACAATCAAACAAACATAACTGATTTAATGAATATTATTTCTCTGATCCACCCTGACAGCTCAGATATTTCAGTAGGGGCAGTTTACCATGGTTTTCTTCCCAAATGCTTTTAACTGTTAAAATTTTTTTCTTCCTGTCGAGTGTTATCCCACCTCTCCTCCCTGTATATTTTCTTAGGGAAGCCTCTTTAGCACACAGGTCCAGGTGTGTCCGTGGATGCCCAGCTATTCCTGGTGACCATTGCTGCACCCAGGCTGTCCTCATTCCCTTACTTACCGACCGATCATAAATCCCCCTGAACTTGGAAACAGCTTGTTAAATGAGGGACTGGTTTGGATTCAAGTGCCTGTTGGCCTGAATGGAACTCACTGAAAACCCACCCCCCATACCATTTCGGTCAGCACTTCACAAACAAGCTGTTGCAGCGGAGAGGCGTGAGAGCGCCTATGAAAACTGTCTCTGAGCTGAGCAGTACCTTCACAAGGCCTTCCCTTTTGTTGGAGGCTGTTCAGGGAAGGGTTAAATCCCATCGGCAAGGCCAGTGAGGCAGGCACTGCTTTTAGGATGTCTGCATCCCTTTTTATGAGCGGCGTGGCCTGACAGCTGTCCTTGTGGTGACAGCTCTCCTGATTACAGCCGGTGTCAAACCGCATCCTGCTGCGGGTTATAAATCCTGCCTCCTTCCTATGGGCTCCGACCCCGGCTTTAATGGGAGGTTAAGTGGAGGCCAGCCGGCAGCGCGGTCCGGAGGCACAGGATCATGGTGGGACCCTCCGCTGGGCCCGCTCTGTCCCCGCTGCAGCTGGGCTGGTCACTCTGACCAGGGGCTCCCTGCTGAAGGACCTGTTCGGCTTCGGCTCCTCTCCATCCATCCACCCACCCACCCACCCACAGGGAATACTGAAATCATTGCTGCTGCCTCTCCCAGAGGAAATCAAGGCTTCTCCGAGCCGTGGTGGCCACGTGGCTGCGGAGTGGGCAGGCTCTGTATCCTCATGGGTGCTCCGGCTTCCCTGCAAAGCACCATCTGTTCGGCTCTGTCTGTGTGCTGTGGCAGGGCAGTGGGAGGGGATGCTGGAAGGAAAATAAATAATAAAAAAAAATTCATCATCTGAACCCTGAGGATTAATGGAGTCGGGAGGCGAACTGCGCCGAATGGAAATTCATCTTCACCCGTGCCAGTGTCAGGGCTGCCGCTCCGGCCCTTGACAAATTGAGGGTCCCAGGGTGCCATAAATCCAGCAGCTGTGCTCATCCCCTGGGATGTCCCCAGCCCGCTCAAGGACATGGGCTGTGCCCGACGGTGGCACCAGACAAGAAAGTCACATTTCCCTGTGTGGGCACCAGCTCCCATCCCCAGAACCTGCCACCGCAGCTTCCTTGGCATCTCTGGAAGTCTGCTTTCTACAAAGGAATGTACCCCCTGGCTCTTCAGCTCAGCCTCACCCACACCCCCACCTGCTTCCTCACCAACCCCTTCCCCCTTTTTTCCTCGTTGTTTTATCTTCAGTATAAGCTCCAATTGCACATTCAACTTATTTTAATGAGACATTGCTGGATCCGTAGAGAACTGCAGAGCAATGCATAAGACTCTGTAGTTACTAAAAGAGTCAGTCAGTTCCATTATAAAAGGACCCAAAGTACAAGTAAAACCAATTGCTACCAATGCAAGAGGGAAGGTACCACCTTCATGGCCTCATAAGGCAGTTTTTGACTTCTCTGGGATCTGTTTTGCATGGGCTTAAGGGAAAATCCAGGGTCTGGAGCTTCTGCTGATATCAGCCAAGTCCAGCTCTCAAGTGTTAAGAGTTTTCCTGATTTTCCTGGTTCTTTTATTATTTTTTTTTTTAGCATCCTTAGGTAGGATTGTTACATCCTGGGAACAGAGAAGAGCTCAGGTCGAACTTGATTCTATCTTGGCGGAGAAAGTCAGGGATTTAAAAATAGTTCCTAGTGGAGGTGTGAGTGTGTGCGCCGTTACCAGCTGTCCGAGGGCACAGACACGGTCTCTTGGAGCTGGTGCTCAGGGAAGGGATGGCCAGCAGCTAAAAACCATCCAAAGTTTCTGCAAGGAGAAATGATGGGTGAAATGCAGGAGCAAGGCAGTACTGATGATGTCCTGCCTGGGATGTGCTACCTGTGGAGAGCCCTGGGACGTTCAGGAGGCAGGTGAGGGGCGGGGACTTAGAAGGAAGTTACAGGTAAATAGATACATTAGATATAGATACAGATAAATGCATTTTAAATTGTTGGGTACAAAAGCAGGCAGGGAACGCTTTCCCAGGTGGCACTTTGGGGCTCTCTGCAGTGGTGCACCAGCACTCTGGGGCCCTTCCCAGGGTCAGTCTCCATTCCTGGGTGTGAAGGAGCCCTAGCCAACTGTGCCCCAGGCTCCCTCTGTGTCCCCTGTGATGCTGTGCAAACCCCTGGGTTCCCGGCAGCTCCATGTCTGGGCTGTGGGCTCGGGGGTGCTGCTTGCACCAGTAACACCTCCCCTGGCCTTCTGGCTTTGCTCTCGCTCTGTCTTTTTTCTCCTTCCTTTGCACTATTAAATCCAAAGTAATACATTGTGTACTGAACACTGCCCCGAAAAATGATCTGCTGCGGCGGGCCAGGTGCTGAGACGGCATTTCCTGCCTCCGGCACACACATGGGAACTCGCCAGCTAAAGCCACCGCTCCAGAAACGCCCATCACCGCCGCCTCGGGGCAGGATCCCCAGACTAACCCTCCTCTCTCTCCCTCCAGCTGCCACCTGCGAGTTTTTGGACATCGTGGAGCTGTTGCTGCAGTCGGGAGCAGACCCCGGGCTGCGGGACCAGGAGGGCTGCCTGCCGGAGGAGGTGACGGACTCCAAAGCCATCACTTCAGCTCTGCAGCAGCACGTCACCGGCGAGCCCTGACCCCGCGGGAGGACAGAGATGCTCTGCAATAACACCCCTTCCCCCTTCTCCCCGCTGCCCTCCCCAAACGCCTCGGGGGTTCAAGGGGACCTTTTAGAGCACAGGGTCTGGCCAGGCTCTCCAGCACGAGGGCCAAGCACATACCCTGGGCAGGATGGGATCAGAGTTCTGCATGCTCTGACATTTATCAGCATTTGAGGGGGGGAGGGAGGGGGGAAAGGGCCTGGAGAAGGCCGCAGGAATTACTTTAATGTATCAAACACAAGTACTGCATTGGCTGTCTCACTGGAGCAGCCTGGGCTGACTGGTCGGCTCCTCGGTGGGGAGGGCAGGGCTGCTGGGCCGGGTGAGGGATGCTCATCTCTCCCTTTCAGGTTGAACTTCGGTTTTGGTTGTTGGTTTTTTTTTTTTTCCCTGGGTCCAAACGAAATATTCTAAATAAAAGCACAGTGTCCGGATGGCACCTCTGTGTGTTTGGTTTTTTGTTTGTTTGTTTTTTTCAGGGAGTGACTTGGTTCCTTGGAAGCAATAAGGATGGGAGGTAGCTCAGTGCTGCCATAGTTCTGCTCAGGCTCTTGACAGGAGGGTCATACAGGTGTCCCCTCTGGCTCTCACGTAGCACACACTGCTAACCAACCCTTCCAAGCTGACAGGACTTCTATCATGTCACACAACCACTTCGTTGAATAAAATGGCTTTAAACCCTCTCCTCCATAATCAGCTCCAGGTCCTCCTGCCATGTGCCAGTCCCTGGAGTGGCTCATCCAGAGCTGAGGTTTGCTAAGAGCTGGGCACAGACATAAACCTGCACTCACCTTGTCACCCCTGTGGGACTCTCAGGCAATTCATGGTCTTCTCAGCTGGCCAAATATCCAGGAAGTGGGAAAAATGTGCCTCATGGCAATGCCTGAGTGCTGGAGTGAGGTGGGATGGTTGTGGGGGCTTCCTGCTTCCTCATCAGCCACTTGCCATCAAGTCCTTTCTGCAGCACATTCAGCCTCAGAAAAAGAAATGGGAAGGTTCCCTTCACTGAGGACTGACTGGGCAGGAGGCACAGGAGGGTTTTGGCCCCTCACGGTGTCCATGGCTCCTGCCAGCGCTGACAAAGTCACTGCACTGGCTCCAGCACCGCCACTGCACCACACACAGCACGGGCCAGGGTCCATGGTGAGGAAAAATGGCTTGGAGAGTTATTTTCCATTAACTTAATACTAAACAAGGCCCTAAAATGGCTTCTGCTCCCCTTCCCCATGCCCAGGAGCCCCCCCCCACCCCAGGCTGGCAGTGCCCAGGCTCATCACATCCTGGAGCTTTGGCATCCAGGTAATAACAAAGACCCAACCCCAGAGCTGGGGTCACACTGGCTCTGGGATGGTGGCATCAAGGCTGGGGACAAGCGAGGCCACCGCTGTGCAGTGCCATAATGCACAGCCACTGCCTGGCTTGATGGACATGCTGTGTAGTAAAAAAACCCTTGTTAAAACCGGGATGGAAAGCAGCAGCAGCTGCAGTGCCGGTGCTTTCAGAGAGCACATTTGGGGCCCGAGCGCTCAGCCCTGGAGATGTTTATAGCACTTTAGGTCTGTTTGTGAGGTTGGAGCCTTTCCAAAAAAAATTAAAAAAAAAAAGAAAAGAAAGCCGGGGGGGGGCGGGGGGAGAGAAAGACATATATTATTGTTTATAATCTGCTTTATTCAGCCAAACCTTTCCCCAGCAGCCTCGTGGATTGCTGTTTAAATCCCTTGGTGCCTTTAACTACCGATACAGAAAGTGGTTAATGTGCATTCGCCCTAAGCTTGGCATCTACTCCAGGAAATCACTTTAATTGAGAAGCATTAAATGTTAAAATGATTAAAATATAGAAGGCCAACACACGGGGTGCCCACGGAGAGGCTTGGACTCCCCCCATCCCGCCTGGCATGGCTCTCCCATCTCACCTGAGCCAGGCGAGCGCTGTGGTGGCACAGCCGGGCACCCACTGCCACCACTGCATGGTGGCAAGAAAGCTGTGGCGCCTCAGGGTGCCACGTGGCACTGATGGAGGTGCTCACCCCAAATCCAGCCACCTCTCCAAAAAGCCAGGGGACCGTGGCCAATGTCACCTGTCCCATCCAGGAATGCCATCTTCCTGGGCAGGGACACCAGAGATCCTGACCCCAAGCAGCCAGGGGTGCCAGAGCAGGGAGTGCTGATGGTGACCACGGCCCTCCCACTGAGGAATAAAATCCCAAAGACAGCAGCTGCTAAAGAGCATCCCGAGTTTATTTGCCATCGCTTTCCCTCGCGGCGGAGGGGGTGACTGTACACATCTCATGCCAACGCACCGGAGGCAGGGAACAAAAGCAACGCCCTGGGCCCGAATTCAGGGCCACTGGGCGGGATCGTTTCTCCCCAAGACATGGCAATAAATAAGGTTTTATTCTGTGAAAATTTTTTTATTGTTATTATTATTTCTGTTGGGTTTTTTTTTTTTTCCTTTCCTTTTTTTTTTCCTCCCAGGAAACAAGACGCTCACTTTCTGGAACTGTACAAAATTTACACAGCAAGGGGAGGAGGAGGCATTTGGCCTTGTCAAAGGGGGACGGAGAGCGGGCATGGCTCTCCCACATCCCCCTCCCCACCACTGCCAGCAAGGCCGGGGGCTTGGCACGAAGCAGCACCCAAGGCTGGGGAGGGGGGAGGCACATGGATGCAGCCGGGGCAGCTCTTGCAGCACCAATGCACCCAGCTGGGGGGGGGGGCAAAGAGGGACAGGGACAGACCAGTGATGTGCTTTCTTCTGTGGCTTTTTTAATTATTATTATTCTTTTTCAATTTTTATTCTTTTTTCCCCTTTGCTTTCAGAGCCCTCATGCCCCTGGCAGCAGCCAGTCAGGGGGATCCACCTCCAGCCCTCCCTGATGGATGGCAGCCTGGGATCATCAGCATCACCCCAGAGCCAGAGGGGATGGCAGGGACCCAGGGGCTGGGGCATCCCTGGGGGGTTGGGACAGAGCTGGGCACTCCAGGCAGAGAGTGTGGAGCTGAGTTTTATCCACGGGGCTGAATGTCTGAGGGTAGGGGTGTGGGCTGTGCTGGGGGAGAGAGGCACACGGGTTTTGAGCAAGGGGCTGGTGCTGGGTGGGCCTGGCCAGGAGCAGACCCCATGGGGCTTGCAGGATGTGCCAAAGCCACCTGAATTCGCCCTGGATGCCTGCACCCACCCTTGGTGCCATCAGCCCCAGGGCACCAAAGGACATCTGTAGCCTATACCAGGGACATCTCACATCCCAATGCCCTCCACTCCCCACCACGCAGTTGCTTCTGCAAGTGACAAAATACCCCTTTTCCCCTTTTTGGGGGGAATTTTTTGCAATGCCCTCAGGGCAAACATTGCCCACCTCTCCCACCCACCCTTCCAGCAGCTGCTTTCCAGGTGCCAGCCCCAAGCATCCCTTCTGGCTCCACCACAGCCCAGCTTGGCCCGTGGACATCCCAAGCTAGAGGCATTTTTTTTTTTTAATTCCTCCCCATCACATGACCATGGTGAAACAGCAGTGACGCTCCATAAACATGCCTGTGTGTCCTGGGGAAAATCACGGCCCCGCAGCCACCAGGTCAGAAGCAGGTAGGACCTTCCCCGGCAGCATCGCCCCGGGCAGCCGGACAATGGCCCCGGCCAAATAAACCCTTCTACAATATAGATTTCTCTTTCTGCTGAGGCTCCGGGCAGCGCCGAGTTGCATTTCAACTCCATATCGAAAAATAACTCTTGAAAATAGCAGCGGTGCTCGGCAGGGGGGTGCGGGGCAGGCGCGGGTGCCGGGACGGACTCTGCCATCCCTGATTGTCCTTCTTTCCCTCCCGCTGTCCCACACTGTGGCCGTGCCCCAGCCCTGCGCCGGGTCCTCGCCGTGCATCCCGTGCGCCGACAGCTCTCTTGTGCTTACACCCAAAGGCTCCGTGCCCCTCGCCCCGAGCACAAACGCCCCTACCCACCGCCGGTGCCGCCCGCCCCTCCCGACAGCCCTCCGGGGCCAATTCCCATGGGAAATCCTGGAAAGGTCAACCGCCGGCGGGTGCCCTCGGTGCTGCGCTTGCAGGCTGGGGGGGAGCGAGGGGGCCGGGGCGGGGGGCGAGCAGCGCTTAGAAAGGGGGGTGATCCATGTCGTCCAGCCAGGAGGCCGGGCTGGTGGGAAAGTCTGGGTACCCGACGCTGCTGCCCGTGGAGATGTCGGAGGTGGGGCCCCCCCCGGCCATGGCCCGCAGCGTCTGACTCACCCCCTGCGCCCCGTGGGCTACCAGCCCCAGGCTGCCGTCCATGGCGTAGTCCAGCCCGTTCAGCAAGGGCGGGTGGGACGGAAGGGAGGAGATGGAGGACGGCGACTGGGGGAGGCCGTAGGGACTCCCGTCCCGCAAGTCCTGGTACGACTGTCCCGTCCCCTCCATGGAGAAGCCGCCGTTCAGCAACTGTCCGCCCGCCACGTCCCCCACGGTGCCGTAAACCCTGTTGTTGTGGCCGAGCTCCGAGAGGATCTGGTCTTCTGCCGGGGAGAGGAGGGAGAGCAGAGGTGGGGGGTCAGCGCGGGGGGCGGCCCCGCGTCCCCCCGGCCCCGCACGGGCGCCCCGCTCACCGCGGAAGCTGAGCTCGCTGTCGCTGACACCGCAGTCCTCGGCCGAGCTCTCCTTCTCCAGCTTCCCACCCCCGCGGCTCCGCTTCACGCTCTTGTAGAACTGCCCCCAGCGGTGCCGCCCCGCGTCCTTCTTCAGCCGCTTCTCCTTGGCCCGGCGGTTCTGGAACCACACCTGGCGCGGGAAAGGGGGACATCGCTGGCACCGCGGCCCCCCGGCACTCCTGCGTGCCGGCGCTCCTGCACCCAGCACCCATGGAACCCCTACATCCCAGCATGCCGGCACCCTGGCACCCCTAAATCCCAGCACCCCTGCACCCCAGCATGCCAACACCCCGGCACATCAGCATCCCTGCAACCCACTATGCCAGCTGGGGAGGGGGGAGGCACGTGGGTGCAGCACCAAGTGTGTCCAGCTTGGAGGGCAAGGAGGGACACACTCATGCAACCCAGCACCCCTAAACCCCAGCACCTCTAAACCCCTGCACCCCTAATCCACTGCAACCCTGCATGCCAGCACCACATCTCCAACACCCCCATGCAATCCAGGACCCCAACATCCCTGCAGCCCAGCTCCCGGGCACCCACGCCACCCCCAACACCCTGCATTCCATGAAACCCAGCACCCAGATACCCCAGAGGGATCCCAGTGTCACGCCTGGCTGGGGGCAGGGTGGGGACCGGCACCCCCGTGGCCTCACCTGCACCACCCTCATGTCAAGCCCCGTCTCGGAGGAGAGCTGCTCCCTCACGTGCCGGGCGGGCTTGGGGGAGTTCTTGTAGGCATTCTTCAGCGTTTCCAGCTGCTTGGCTGTGATGGTGGTCCGGGGCCGCTTCGCGCCCGCCTCGGAGTCATCTGCAAGTGAAGCAGGCGATGCCATCCCGGAATTGCCAGCCCACGGCATTAGGAACATCTCCCCAGAACCAGCCATCCCAGAGCCCGCAGGGACACCTTCCCACTGGCACACCAGTGGCACGAGCCATGGCCGGCCCTCCGTGTGCTGGGCCCCTCGCAGCCCCTTAGAGGTGCCTACCGTTCTGCTTGGCAGTCTCGTAGTCCTCCTTGCAGACCAGCCTCCCATCCTCCATCAGGTAGAACTCATCCCCTGTGGCCAGCTGCCGGCTGCAGATGATGCAGGCGAAGCAGTGGAGGTGGTACACGAAGTCCTGGGCCTTGCGGACCACCTGGGTGGGGGGGATGCCCTGCTGGCACGCCGTGCATTTGGTCCCGAAACGCCTGCAGGGAGAAGCGGGTGACCCTGAGCCCCCCACGGCAAGGTGGGCTTTGCTGGGCAGAGACGGGACCGGCACCAGCAGACAGGGCAGAGTTTAAACCAGCAATCAACCTTATTATGCATGACACTTCACACGGCAGGGGGTTTATCTTCCTCAGAGTGAGAGACCGGCCTAATGGAGCTGAGGAAGGTTTGATTTTAATGGTTCTTTTAACTAATGCTTATAGGCTGCCTGATTTTCCCCTGCAAGGACAGTACATATTTCATCCGCATTAATACCAAATAAATTAATTACGCCGCCCGGCTGGCAAGATGAATCCCAGATTAATGCAGAATGATGGGGCTCTTACACCATAACGAGGGCCTGGCAGGGGCATCGGGTGGGCTGGTGTGGGGTAGGTGTTGGAATGAGCAAACCCACCAGCTCAGCTACAAGGAGTGTGAAAGGAATGTGAAACAGCATGAAAGGTGTGTGGAAGGCACATACAATGGGTATGCAAGGAGTGTGCTGGAAATGTGGGAAAAGCGTGAAAGGAACACGTGGAATGGTGCAGGAAGTGTGGAAGGAGCATCCAAGAAGTGAATTCCCTGAATTAACAGCACGAGGGTGACACGCCATGAGGCGGTGGCAGCACAGGTGAAAGTCATAAGCGGACATTCCACTGGTGTTTTCAGCAACAGCTGCTGTGGGATTGAGATGGGGCAGATGTCCACCTGCCCTTGGCACCACAAGGGCTCTGCAGGGTCTCTCCTGCTCCCCGCAGTGCCCTAAAACCCCCATCAGCAGGACATCAGGACCCCATGGAGTCATCCTGGTATTGCAGCAGCAGCCCAGGTGAGAAAGCTATTGGAATAATCTGCCCTCTATGCCTTAAACAGCTCCATCTGCTTGGAAGGAGGCAGCCCAGGAACACCCAAGCCCTTTGGCCCCAAGGCTGCAGGGGTGGGCAGTGGCATTCAGGGGTGCGCTGGGGGTGCAGCCATCCCAAGAACTTCTCACTGTCCCCCGAGGGCTGAACATCCCCTGATAGTGCAAAATCACCCTCAAGCCCCACGGCTGCCCATGCCCTCATGCCCTGTGGAAAGCCAGGACACAGCCACCACAGCTGGGTCCTCGAGATGGTCCCCAAGTCAGGCAGGTGTCACCCAGGGACGCGTGGCAGGCAATGGGCATGAGTGGTGCCAGCACTGATCCAGGGTGCTGGAAGCAGAAGATGAGGAGGAAAACTCTGATTTCTCTAATTTTCTTGGCTTGTATCCTAAAGGGAGAGTCCCTGGACATCTGCTGGGGAGACCTCAGCTGGGAGGGAAGGTGAGAGAGGAGAGGGAGGTCAAGAAGGAGGGAGGAAGAGATGGGAGAGGGATGGACGGGAGATGAACAGAGAGAGGGGAGGGATGAAGGGAGGGATGGATGGAGGATAAATGGAAGGACAAAGGGAGGGTGGGAATGAAGGATAAAGAGAGGTATGAAGGGATGGAGGGAAGGAGGGAAACAGGCATGTACAGAGAAAGGGGTAGGACAGACAGATGATGCTTTTCCGCTCCCAAGGCTGAGCCAGTGCCTGCTCTGCAGCCCCCATCCTCCCTCTGCCCATCCACCCTCCCACAGAACACTGTAAAAGCCATTTTAACACCTCCTCCAGCATCCCGGGTGGGGGGGGTCCACACCACCTGGGAATGGCCGGTCCCAGCACAGAGACACCCATGGCCAGGGGCCAAGAGCTGCGATTCAGGGGAGGGGGAAAAAAAAAGATAAAAATCAAAAATCAATCCGATCTTTTCCAAAGCAGTTCCTGCATTTCCAACTGCCTCTGAAGTTGGGCTGAAATCCTCACGTCCTCCACGGGTTCCCTACCCCGAAATCAATGAGCGGTGAAGGAAAGGTGAGGCGAGTGCCCGGGCGAGCACCGAGCTGCTATTGATTGGCACCAAATAATCCAGGCAGGACCTCATCTGAGAAAGTCGCTGATCTTTCAACTCCAATTAACATTGATTACCAGCACCTTTTGGGCGACTATTTAAATGACTCAGAGAATAATAGGCTGGAAAATATCAGAAGTGAAGTGTTATTACCCAGGCTGGAGCGGCTGCTTTGACCATCGCTGGGAAGGAGAAATTCGAGCTGCATCTTTGGTCCTGATGGATGGGGAGGAGATGGCGGGGATATGGGAGGCCCGAGAGCCCGGGGATGGGCAGGCAGGTAAAGTCCCGTCTGGGGAGTAATTGTAATGGCCATCGGTTGGTTTAGCTGGCTGGTGGTGAGGGGTGTCAGGTGACCCCTCTGGCATCCCTTGGGAAAACTCCCAAATTTCGCCAGCAGCCAGGGACCAGATCATCCCCACTGAGACGTCCATTTTTAATGGAGAACAGGTTGTCCTGTCTCATGGGAGCGGGGATACGCCAAAGCTGGGGCATTGCACAGCTCAGAGGCAGCTGCCAACGCAATCAAATGAGGTTTTCACACTAATGGGAGGAAAAAAAAAAAAAAAAAAAAGAACAAAAGAAGAGTAAAAGGTGAAGGGAGAGAAACAGCATCAGCAAATAGCTGCGAGGCGAGTGGAGGACTCGGGAGGAACAGGCAGCGTTATCGCTGCCTTGTGCGGGTTTCTCCTGCCCTCTAGCTCCGAGCGAGCCGGGGCCGCTGCCGAACCGCCGCAGGTTCTCACCCCGGGGGTGCCGAACATCAGCACAGGGGAGGTACGGGAGCACCAGGGAGATCGGGGGCTTTCAGACGGCTAAATCCCAGCAACCAGCATCCAGCTCGCGGCAGCTGTAAAGCACCAACATTCCCTTCATTTTCACAACAACAACACCACCAACAAAAGGCGTAGGAAGGTTTTGGCGAAATTATTCTTAAAAATAGGTGGTGCGTTTGCTGCTCAGACGGCGCTTTCGGGGGGCTGTGCCCCCGAGGGATACTCACTTGAAGAAATCCTCCTTGCAGTAGACGCTGCCGGCCCGGGAGAAGCAGCGGTCGGCCAGCTGCATCTGGCAGTCGGCACACTTGAGGCAGGAGCTGTGCCAGTGCCGGTCCAGGACCTTGAGGATGAACTTGTCCAGGATGTGCTGGTTGCAGCCGGCGCACTGGGGGATCTCTGGGCAGGGGAGAGAGGGATGGAGAGAAGAGCGGCGTCAGCCTCCGCAGCCCCCTCGGTCCCGCGGGGCCCCCACCCGGCTGGCAAAGCCCCGCCTGGGCACATGCCAGGGCTTTGTGGGCTGAGGAGGTGCCACCCCTCGACTCGCTGGTGTCCCAGCACAGCTTCCTTTGCAGACCTTTGCCAAAAGCCTCTGGGATAGCAAAGCCCACGGTCCCACCGGTTCCTCTGGACACGGACACACACACGCGATGCTTTTCCTTTCTGCATCCCGTTTCCCAGACCGTGTCCTGCCCCTTGACACCTGTTTCCCTGCCTGCCTCTCGTTCCCTCTGGAATGGCATCCCACAGCCCCCAGACAGGAACGCAGCCTGTTGGTCTCCGTGAGCCAGGGGTTCAGCTGTGGGGTCCTCACTGTCAAAGGCTTTGTCAACGTGGGCAAAAGCCTCTTCCCCTCCACCCCCTCTGCATCCTGAGGACCCCACGAGCCACCCGTGATGGCCATACCGGCCCCTCCTGCAGGTGCCCAGTGCCCCTCTCCCTGCAGTGCCAGGGCACCTCATGCCTTCGCATCCTCCATGGTCCAGCATTCCTTTGGACTCCGGTTTTCCTGTGATGGGGACAGCCTGCTTTTTCCCATCCAGCCAGGGCATTACCGACTCCTGTCGCTGGAAACAGCTGGAAAACGCGGGCTGAAGCAAGGCCAAGCTGGAGCAGAGTTATCCAGGGGTATTGACTCTAGTCCCATTCGGTCCTCCCCACATCCAGCCTCTCACACCGTGGGAGGATGCTTGCAGAACGAAGGTTTTTTCCTATGGCAAGACGTATCCCTGGCCGTCCAGATTCCTACACAATGTCTGCCTACAGATGCACAGCTTCCATAGGTCTGGAGAGCTGGCTATTTCTCTGTCTCTCTCTGCCCATAGCTTGGGATAAATGGTACAGCAAGAGTCTGCAGGAGCAGATTTCCCGGTAAAAACCAGGCACATAAAACTGACCCACACGCATGAAAGCAGATGGATTTGGGGGGAAAATCCACCATTGTGCCCAGAGCCGAAGAGTAAGACCAGGAGAGATGGTTTGTACCAGGGCTGCTCCCTCCCCAGCCTGAAGCCGCTGGCATACAATTCCGACCGGGAAAAGGGGGTGTTTTGGGGGGAATTACGCTGTTCTAAATGCTGGGGAGGCTTAGGAGGGGCTGGGTTGTCCCCAGCCGGAGTGGCACAGCCAGGACGCAAAGGACAAGCGATGGGAACGGTGAAAGAACGGGTCCCTGTGCTGCCCAAGGCATGGGGGAGGCGGTGGAGAGGGAGAGAGGGAACTTCTGGCCTGGGTGCTACCGGGAGGGGAAAAGGGGAAA